GGCCAAGACTGGGCGCTCGATGGCGATGTCATCGACGCCCCGAGGACGCCGCCAGCGGCGCCGAGGGTGCTTCGCCGCCAGCCCTGTTCGCCATCAGCCATGTCGGCCGTGCCCGAAGAGGCTGGCAGTGATTTCACCGGCCACGTCCAGCAAATGATTTTGGCAGCCCAGCACGACGTCGAGGGGGCGGGGGATCTAGCCCGGGTGCTGCGGGAGCTGGAGAGCGACAGTCGCCGGCGGAGGTTCCGCGATGCTATCGAGCGCGCCGTGGCCGGCCACGACCGTTCATGTCAGGAAAGGTTCCCAACCTGAGCGTTTCGCCCGAGACATCCTCACACAATCGAGAAGTTGGGTGTCGCATCTTAAGACGTCTTTTGCTGAACATGGGCGTTTCGCTCGGGACATCCTCCACGCATCAGGAAGAGCGTGTTCTACCGCTGCTGGCGCAAAACCGGGGGGGGTCATTACCGGTTCGAGCCCCTACCCCCCCCCTTCGGAAAACCGGGGGGGGTCACTGCCGGTTCGAACCCCTCCCCCCCCCACATTAAATCATGAAAAGGGGGGGGGGTCACTGCCGGTTCGAGCCCCCCCCCCTCGAACTCGAAAGCCGGGGGGGGGTCACTACCGGTTCGAATCCCCCCCCCCCTCTCGAAAACCACCGAGGGGGGGTGCGGACAGTGGTGGGGGCGGTGGTGGTGGGGACAGTGGTGAGGGGACAGCGGGACACTGGTGGGGACAGTGGGACAGTGGTGGGGGCGGCAGTGGCGGGGACAATGGTGAAGACAATGGTGGGAACAGTGGGGACAGTGACAGTGGGACAGTGGTGGGGACGGTGGTGGTGGGGACAGTGGTGTGGGGACAGTGGGAATGTGGTGGAAACAGTAGGACAGTGGAGGGTACAGTGGTGGTGGGGACAGTGGTGAAGGTGGTGGCGAGGACGGCGGTGGGACAATGGGACAGAGGTACAGTGGGGACAGTGGTGGGGACAGTGTGCAGAGTGGTGGGAACAGTGGGACAGCTCAGTGGGACAGCGGAGGAGTCAGTGGGACAGTGGGGACAGTGGGGATAGTCTGCAGTGGTTGGAGCCGTGGAGAAAGCTGGGAGAGTGGAGCCGTGGTGGGAACAGTGGTGGGGGCAGTGGGGACAGTGCGACAGTGGTGGTGGTACTGGTGGGGACAGTACGGGCGGTGGTGGAACCAGTGGGGACAGTGGTGGTGAGGACAGTGGTGTTGGGAACAACAGTGGGGGATGTGATGAGTACGGTGGTAGGGGCCGGGAGTCGTTTGCTGGCGGGTGAGAGGGGGGGGGGTGGGGAGGGGTTCGAACCGGTAGTGACCCCCCCTCCGGTTTTCGAAGGGGGGGGGGGTTCGAACCGGTAGTGTTCCCCCTAGTTTTCCGGAGGGGGGGGGGGGGGGAGGGGTTCGAACCGGTAGTGACTCCCCCCGGTTTTCCGCCAGCAGCGGTAGAAACTCCGGTTTTCGAGGGGGGGGGGTCTCGAACCGGTAGTGAACCCCCCCGGTTTTCCAGAGGGGGGGGGGGGAGGGGTTAGGGGAGGGGGGGGGGTGCCGGGGGAAGGGGGGGGGTCCAGCAGGGGGGGGGATTTTCGGAGGGGGGGGGGAGACCCCCGGGCTCCGGAGGAAAAGGGCGGCAATGTTCCACAGTATAGCGGCGGTGGATCACGCTCTTTCCCCCGGATCTCGAAATCGCTCGCCTAAGTTTCGGTTTCTCGAGAATGGGCGTTTCGCCCGAGGCATCCTCGAAAACATGGGATGCCGACAGAGCTCTCGTAAGGCATCTTTTCGGCGCGATCTCGGGTTACCCCCAAGATGGCCCAAGAAGCGAAAATATGGAAACAACCCATTATATATATATATATATATATATGTAAACATTTCCGTTGATAAATCAGCGTTTCACTCGAGGCATCCCTTACACCATGCCTTCGAACGGGCCCCCGAAGCCATCTGGTCTCCTCCTCCTCCTCCTCCTCTTCCTCCTTCTCCTCCTCCTCTCTTCCTCCTTCTTCTTTTCCTTCTCCTTCTCATCCTCCTCCTTCTCCTCTTCCTCCTCTTGTTCTTGCTTCTCCACCTCCTCCTCCTCCTCCTCCTCCTCCTCTCGTTTTTCCTCCTCCTCTTTCCTCCTCCTCCGCCTCGTCTTCCTCCTCCTGCTCCTGTTCCTCCTCTTCCTCGTCCTCCTCCCCGTCCCCTCCTCACCCTGTGTTCCTGCTCATGCTGCTGCTGCTGCTGGTCCTCCTCCTCCTCCTCCTCCTCCTCCTCCTCCCCCTCCTCTTCCTCCTCCTCCTCCTCATCCTCTTCCCCCTCCTCCCACGATTGTCGTTTTCGCCGTCGTCCTCCTCGTGCGGAGGAGTGAGGAGGATCACCAGGAAGATGCTTGTAAACGTTCGGGGGGCGCGTATCCATACGTATCCTTTGTGAACGTTCGGAGAGCTCTCGCGTATATTACATTTGATCACGATTGATGCTGCAAGTACTTGCGGAACTCTTCCCTTTCACGCGCTTCCCGTTCATGTCAGGAAAGGTTTTCGGATCCTCCAACAAATGGGATACCGAAAGAGCGCTGTTAAGACCTTTTGTGTTGAACATGTTGCTCTCGCACGAGACATTCTCGAAAAGTGGGGATGTCCAGGGAGCTCGCGAATTCGTTGTGTTCTCAAAAATGAAGCTCTCGCCCGAGACATCCTCAAACACATGAGTTGTTGAGTAAGCTGTCGTGCGACATCTCTTGGAGGCGTTCTTGGAGGACACCCAAGACGGCCCAAAAGGCCAAATTTTCAAACAAGCAATGGTTGTTCAACATGTCTGCTCGGAAGTATGCGTTCCTCCCGAGACATCCTCACACAAGTGCAGTCTCGAGGGCCCTCGAAAGGATAATATTATGATGAAGATGCAGATGATAATGATGATGATGCTGATAATGATGCTGATGATGACGATGACGATGATGATATTGATGATGGTGATGCTGATGACGATGGCGATGATGTTTACGCTGATGACGATGACGACCTGTGGTATATTTGTCTCCGGCCGACCTGTGGTATATTTGTCTCCAGCCGTCCTGCGGTATATTTTTTTCCAGTCGACGTGTCGTACATTTGCCTCCCGGGCGGCCGTCCGATTACCATCAGTCCTGCAGTATATTTGTCTCCAGCCGACCTGTGGTATAGTTGTCTCCAGCCGACCTGTGGCATATTTGTCCCTTTGGCAGCCATCCGATCACCGTCCGTCCTGAGGCATATTTGTCTCCAGCCGACCTGTGGTATATTTGTCTCCATCATCGTCGTCATCGTCGTCGTCATCGTCGTCGTCATCGTCGTCGCCGTCGTTGTATGGTAACATTTCGGTTCAAAGGGCGACGCCGGTTAAAAACCCCACGCCGTAGAGAAGACGTTCGCAGGATACTCAGGAACAGGGTTGTCAACGTTCGGAGAGCGCGCGTCCATAGGTATCTCTTGTGGACGTTCGGGGAGCTCGCCCACTTTACGGTTCATCGTGATGATGCTGCACGTTCTTGCAAAATTCTTCCATTTTACGCGCCCCCCGTTCATGTCAGGAAAACGTTTTCCCCTTGATGTCTCAAGCGACTAATGACAGGAAAGGTTTTTTTGTTGCGAGGATGTTTCATGCGATTTCCTCTGGAGGCATCCTCGCGCAAATGTGATATTCGCGACATCGCGTTCAACACACACATGCGTTTCGTTCGAGGCATCCTCGAACAACTAGCCGCCGCGAAATTCATCCATCCGTAAAAATTTGCGTTTCGCCTGAGATATCCTCACAACAATGACATGTCTCCGGGGGTGTTTTACTGCCGCTTATGTTGAAACATGCGTTTTCGTTAGGGACATCCTCAGAAAATGCCCGGCAGCACGGCGGACCAGAAAACAAAAACACGGCATGATGTTTGCATTTCGCTGGGGACCTTCTCAAAAAATGTGATGGTGTCAACATCGTCTTGAAATCGTTCCTGAAGTGCTCCAAGAGGAAGACACGAACGCCCAAAAAGGACCTCAGTATGACTCCAAGAGCGCCCTGATGACTGCCGAACATGACGATTTCGCTAGGGACATCCTCAAACAATGAAACATACAACAGCCTCGTTTTGAAAACTGCTGTTCTAACCTCGTCTTGGGATCGCTCTTGTCAAAATTACGACTTCGCTAGGGACATCGTCAAACAAAATATGTGGGTGACATCGAATTGGCATGTTTTTGATGGCGTCGAGGCAGCCCCAAATGAGCTCCAAACGAGGCCCACTATGAGTCCGAGGGCGCCTTCGAGATTCCTCAAATTTTGAATTTCGGTCGAGACATCCTCACCAACATGAGTTGTTCGCAACACCGTTTTTCACAACAACAAGCATTTCGCCTGAGACATCCACCAGAAAATGAAAACCGCGAATTGAACAACGTATGGAAATGGGGATATCGCCTGATACATCCTCGAACCACGAGGTGCTCAAAAGGCTGAGTTAAGATCATGCGTGATAAACCGGAGTTTTTCGCTTGAGAGATCTTCAGAACGTGGGCAGGATCACGGCAACCCAACACGCAAAAACACGGCAGAGCGCGCGAGAGCACGGCAGAGCACACCGGAGCACGGCAAAACACACAGGAGCTTGGCAGAACCCAAGGAACGCACGGGAGCGCGGCAGAACAGATAAACGCAGAGCAGAACACACAGGAACACGGCAAAACACACAGGAGCACGAGGAGCATGGCAGAACACACAATACATAGGAGCACGGCAAAACACGCAGGAGCACGGCAGAACACGCAGGAATTCGGCAGAACGCACATGAGCACGGTCCGTAACCATTTTGGCTCAAGGCCATGGAGAGCCCGACGACCGCAAGTCGTTCGCGGCGTTCCGAGCGCGAGGGTCTCCGCGCTTTGGGCCAGTGCAATTTCTTGTTGTGCTTCCTGCTCTCGCAGCGTGGGGGCGTGGCCCTGCGGGTGGCGCAGCGGGCGCCATGGCGAGGTCCAGCGTGGCGGCACCAGTGGCAGGCGCAGCAGGACCTATTGGATGTGCAGCTGCGGTAGTTGGAACTGGGACTGGCGCTCCACGTGTCTCAGCTGTGGGTATGCCGCACCGCCCAGGGCGCTGGGTTCAACCCACGGCAAGGCGAAGCCCGAGGCAGACAAGGACGGCTGGGTGGACCAGCCTCGGGGGCGCCGAGCCCAGCGGCAGGCCCGCAGCGCAGCGTCGCGTACGGCATCCACCAAGTCGCAGACCTCGGCTTCAGCGGCGGGTGGGGCGCCCAGCGGCGGAGGAGTCACGGCGATCGAGAGGCTGCGAGCAACGGTCGAGCGGCTCGAGGCGCTGCAGGCTGGGCCACCCGACGGCGTCGACAGCTGCTTCACGGACGTCGCGGCCAACCAGCTGGAGGCGAAGAGGGCAGAGTTGGCCAGCGCCCAGCAGGAGGCAGCGGAGCAGAAGGCCTCCGCAATGACGCGGTTTGCTCTGCTGCACAAAGAGGCGAGCGCCATCAGCAAGGAAGAGACGCGACTCCGCTCGGCCCGCCAGGCCCTTGAGCAGAAGCGGCGGCGCGGGACCTCGCGGAGGTCCAGCCCCAGAAGGCCCAGGACGAGCTCGCGGCGCTCGACGGCGAGGTGGGGGAGGCCAGCAGGGCGCTCCAGGTCTTCGAAGAAGCAGCCCGTGAGGAGGCGGAGGCGCGGCGGCGCCAGCGCGCAGCCGAGTGGGCTGGAGCCAGCCACGTGCCGGGGCTCCTCACGCAGCTGGACAAGCTGCCAGAGGCCTGGGGCTCCAGCAACTTCGAGGTGGCATGGGCGGCCATTCGCACCCAGGTGGAGGCGGTGCGGGCGCAGCTCGCGGTGCACCCGTCAGCCTCCGAGCGAGCGCCGCGGGCCGAGTCCTGCCCCGTGGGCGAGATCAGCAGCGACGACAGCGAGCTCGCAGGCGGCAGCGGGCCCTGGCAGCCGCAGGCCGCTGCGGAACGTGGCCAAGCCGAGCGGCGCGGCAGCGCGCTCGGCGGGTGGCCGCAAGTGTCCCAGGCATGCAAGAAGGAGCTGGTCGCTGAGGCTGCGGACCTGGCCCCTCTGGCTGCTCGCCCTGCTGGCCGCGCAGCTGGGAGTAGCGACGGAGGAGCGCAGCCAGGGCAGGCGAGCGCCTAGCGGGGCCAGTGCGGCGGGACGACGCCTGCGCGCGAGCAGCAGCGCCGAGGTGGCCTGCGGCGGCGGCAAGCGCCTTGGCGGCCTCGGGGGCGGGCCGGCCCCACCGGCGCCAAGCCAGGCCCCTGCGGCGGCTCAGGGCTTCCGATGCGGGCGGGAGGCTCTCGGGGTGCTCGGCGACGCCAGGAGGGGGGGCCTGGGGGTGACTGGGGCCTCCGTCAGTCGGCGCGGAGCCAAGCCCAGCCAGGGGCGGCTCCAGGTGGCCAGTGTCGCCCCGCGCCGCCCAGAGGAGGCCAGAGGAGCTGCGCGCAGCAGGAGGCGCGCGGTCTCCCTCCGCCCGTGCGCGCCCTCGGACATGGAGAGCCCGCTGGTTCATGCGGGCCTGGGGCGGCTGGCCCGCTCGCAGAAGGGCGTCATGGACCTCCTGGCGGCTCAGGAGGCGCTGCCCCAGCCCCTGGGCGCCCGCGCAGCCGTGCCGGTCTTCTTTCCCGAGTCGAATGGAGGAGTTCGACCGATAGTGAACGGCCCACTGCCCATGCGCATCCGGGGCAGCCCGAGGCAGCCCATCGGCGCGCTGTGGGAGGCGGAGCACGACCGCCGGTTCTTTAGGGGCAAGGTGGACCGCGAGTACGAGAAGGCAGGCTGGCTGCACAACGCCTGTGCCGCTCTTGCGCGCGTGAGGGGGTGTGCCTCCGCCAGCCTCTTCCTGGACATCACCAAGCTCTACGTGAGCCTGCGTCACGACTTCCTGCGGCAGTGCGGAGTCGAGCATGGCTTCGACCTGCGGGTACTTCGAGGTCTGCACGTGCTCTACCCGAGGCCGCGTATCCTCCTCTTCGCTGGCCTGGCCACCGAGTCGTTCGCCTCCCTGCGCGGGGCGCTGGGCTGCAAGTGGGTCGCCTCCTCCGCGTTCCGCCTCTGCCCCCTCAGTGCTGCCGAGGCCCCCGTCCGCGCCTTGAGGCCCTCTGGAGAGCGGCAGCCTGGCGGGCATTGGGAAACGCAGGGCTGGACTTTCGGTAAGACGTTGCAGGCCAGGAACCTCAGCACGGGCGCCGCCATCGCGGGGCGAAGCGTGCATGAGAGCCGAGTACGAGCTCCTGGAGCCGTGGGCGGAGCGCGCGGGCCGCCTCCGTGCTGCGGGAGTGGATCTGGGCCCGATCCACAAGGCTGGGCCTGCGGGCAGCGCGGTGCGGGGTCGCTCGGGGCGCCCGGGGACCGCTGAGAGCGCCGCCGTGCGGCGCATTGCGGCCACCGTCCGTGTGTGAGTGAGAGTCGGCATCGGTGAGGCTCGCGCCTGTTGCTCCCTCTGGTGAGTAGGCCCGTGCTGCCCTCGGTGCTTTCTGGGGCTCGGCGTCTCTCGGGAACCCTGTCTCGTCTTCGCGCCCCGACGCCTTCAAGGCCCCGTCTTTAAACTTTAAACACAGGAAGAACACAGGAGCAGGAGGAGCACGGCAGAGCACGGCAGAACGAGCAGGAGCACGGCGCAACACACACACACACACACACACACACACACACACACACACAAAAAAAACACATAGTAGCACGGCAGAACAAGCAGGAACGCGGCAGAACACACAGGAGAACGGCAAAACGCATAGGAACACGGCAGAGTTGACTACAGAACACGCTGGACCTTGGCAGATCATGCAGGAGCACGGCAGACCACGCAGGATCACGAGGAGCACGGCAGAACACACAGAGTACATAGGAGCACTGCAGATGCACATGAGCATGGCAAAACACACATGAGCGCGGCAGATCACACAAAACACATCGGAGCACGGCAAAACAACCAGCAGCACGGCATAACACACAGGAGCACGGCAGAACACAAAAGGAGCACGGCAGAACACATAGGAGCATTGCAGAGCAGGACCATGGCATAATACACAGGAGCACGGCAGAACACAGGAGCACGGCAAAACACGCAGGAGCATGGCAAAACACATAGAACATGTATTCACACAGCCACACCCACAGTCACACGCACATAGGCACACGCACATAGGCACACGCACACGCACACGCACACGCACAAACAGACACGCACACGCACGCACGCACGCACGCACGCACGCACGCACGCACGCACACACACCCACACACACATACACACACACACGCACACACAGCGAGGCAACATACGTTCAGCAGTGCCGCAGACCACCACGCACGGAGACACATGCACATATTCCACGCACGCACGCGCACGCGCAAACGCACGCACGCAACGAAAAACGTGCGCAGCGCATATCAAGAACGTAACATATCTCATAAGCCCAGGACACAAAAGGACGCTTCCCGTTCTTGTCCGGTCAGGTTCCGGGAAACGTCCTCAGAAAATCGGCTCCGGAGGGGGCTCCGAAGTAGCATTATCTTGGACTCGTTCCCAGAGGGCTTAAACACCGCTCCAAAGAGCACCTGGAGGCTTCCCGGAGGACCGCCAAAGCGCCCCAGGAGACCTCCAAGTGGCCCCCAGAGGCCTCCAAGAGCGCCCGAAGAGGCCCTGGGACTGCCCAAGAGAGCCCCAAGACAGTCCAAGAGAACGCCAACGCAGCCCGAGAGAGCCCCCATAGATCCTGGAGACGCGCCCGGACAGTCCAAGAGGGTCACAGAAGCTCCCAACAGGCTCCCAAAAGGCTCACAACGGGCTCCCAGCAGACTTTCACAAGGTTCCCCAGAGGGCCCCAGAGAGCCCAAGAGAACCCCAAGAGCCCTAGATGACCCGCGACGTCCATCATGTGCCCAGGGCAGCAGATTAGCTCGACAGACCAGTACGGCAGACTAGCGCGGCAGGCCATCGCAATGAACCGACAGCATGTCTTGATTTGTTGTGCTGCGTTTCTAGGTTTCGTTGACGTTCTCTATCATACGTTCTCTGACACGCTTGGTGGACAAAAACGGCGCTTCCCGTTCTTGTCCAGTCAGGGTCCGGAAAAATGGCCGTTCCGCTCAAGACATCCTCAGAAAACCGGCTCCGCAGGGGGCTCCGAAACCACATCATCTTGGAATCGCTCCTGGAGGGCTCCACAACGGCCCAAGAGAGCCCCCGAAGGCTCCCCAGAGGACACCCAAAACACCCTAAGAGACCCCCAAGAGGCCTCCAAGAGGCGCCCAGAGGCCCCAATAAACCGCCAAGAGGCCCCCAAGGGGCGCCCAGAGGCTTCAAAGAGCGCCAGAAGAGGCCCCGGGACTGCCACAGAGAGCCTCAAGACAGTCCAAGAGGGTCACAGAAACCTCCAAGAGGCTCCCAAAAGGTTCGAAAGAGCGCGTTTTGTGGTCGCTTGGAGGGGGGAGGGGGGGTTGAAACCGGACCCCCACCCCCCCTTGGATGGAGGGGGCGGGGGGGGGGTTCGAGCCCTCTTCCCCCCCCCCCTCTCTTCCTCCCCTGCTTCCCCTCCTCTCCTCGGGCCGGCGCTTGCGTCGGCGGCGGCTGGCGGCGGCGGCGGGGACGACGATTTCCTTTTCTGGGCCGGCGCCGGTTCCTGCGGCGGCGGGCGGCGGCGGCGGGGAACGTCGACGAAGACGACGGTGGTGGTTGTTGTGGTGGGTTGTGGTGGTGGTGGTGGCGGTGGTGGTGGTTATGGTGGTGGTGGTGTGGTGTGATGATGGTGGTGGTGGTGGTGATGGTGGTGGTGGAGGTTGGTTGTGGAGGTGTTGGTGGTTTTGTGGCGGTGTGGTGGTGGTTTGTGGTGGTTGGTGGTGGTGGGTTGTGGTGGTGGCGGTTGGTTGTGGAGGGGGTGCTGGTGGTGGTGGTGGTGGCGGTGGTGGTGGTGGTGGTGTGGTTGCTTGTGGTGGTGGCGGTGGGTTGTGCTGCTAGTAGTGGTGGTGGTTGTGGCGGTGGTGGTGGTGTGTTAGATTGGTGGTGGTGGTGGTAGTGGTGGTGGGTTTATTGTGGTGGTTGTGATGATGGTGGTTGTGGTGGTGATGGTTGTGGTGGTGTGGTGGTGGTGTGGTGGTGGTGTGGTGGTGGTTTGTGGTGGTGGTGGTGGTGGTGGTGGGTTGTGATGGTTGTGGTGGTGGTGGTTTGTGGACGTGGTGGTGGTGGTTGTTTGTGGTGGTGGTGGTGGGTTGTGGTGGTTGGTGGCGGGTTGTGCTGCTAGTAGTGGTGGTGGTTGTGGCGGTGGTTGTGGTAGTGTGGTCGATTGTGGTGGTGGTGGTGGTGGTAGTGGTGGTGGGTTTTTGTGGTGGTGGTGGTGATGGTGAATTGTGGTGGTGGTTGTGGTGGTGGTGGTGGCTGTGGTGGTGGTGGTAGTGTTGCGTGGTGGGTTGTTGGTGGTGGTGGTCCTGGTGGGTTGTTGCGGTAGTGGTGGTGGTAATGGTTTGAGGCGGTGGCGGTAGTGGTGGTAATCGTCGCTGCGTCTCCGCCGTCGCCGGCGCCAGCGCCGGCGCTGCTGGCCGCCGCCAGCGCCAGCGCCAGCGCCAGTGGTGGGGGTATTTGACCCCCCCCCTCTTGGGCTGCCTCTGGTCATCGTCGCTGCGTCCCCGCCGTCGGCGCCGCTGCCAGCCGCTAGCGCTGGCGCTGGCGCCGGGGGGGTGGGTTTGACCCCCTCCCCTTGGGAGGGGGGTGGGGGGTCGGGGGGCGGGTTTGGGTGGGAGGAGGGCCCCCCTGGTTTTGATCGACGGCGCCGAGTGCTGGGGGGGGGGCCGACCCCCGTTTGAAACGCGCCGCCGAATGTTCCCAAGGCAAGCGCCCCTGAAACGCTTTCTCTCAAGGTTCCCAAAGGCTCCCAACAGGCCTTCAACAGGCTCCTCAGATGGCACCAGAGACCCCAAACGAACCCCAAGAGCGCTAGACGGCACGCGAAGTCTGTGCCCAGGGCGGCAAATGACGGGAAACGCCTCTGGCGTGCACCGCTCTTATGAATCCATTTTTCTTTGTTTATGGGGTCCGAGCTGCACCCCGCCCTGAGAGAGGCCCAAAACGGCCCATAAGGGTCCCAAGGGACGCCCAGAAATGCAATACTCATTGATTATTGCAAGTTTTTTTGCCACACTTCAGCATGTCCTACCAAAGTCTTCACACCAACACGGCTCCAAAAGGATCACCACAAGGACACACGCTTCACAACACCTGTATGTTTCATGGGTCGGCGGATGTTCTTCCAGGGTCGGCGGATGCCTGCGGACTCGCCCAGTGATGTGGCAGGTTTTTGAGAGGGCTTTCCGACGGCCCCAGGGCGACCCAAAAGACGCCCTGGAGGGCTCCAGGAGCGCCCAAGAGCGCCCAGGAGCGCCCAAAAGCGCCCCAAGAATATTTAAGAGACCCCCAAGAGCGCTCTAGGAACTTCTCAGACAGCTCACAAGAACACCAAGGTGGCCCAAGAAGAGCCAAAAGGGCCCTAAGAGACTCCTGGGAGCGCCCCGGGAGGCCTCCAAACGGCCCAAGAAAGCCCCAAGAAGGACCAAGATGGCGCCGAGACGGCCTAAGAAAACTCCCACCGAACCCCACGACGCGCCCAGACAGCCCAAGAAGACGCCAGAAGCCCGCAAGAGGACCCAAGAGGCCCCCAAGAAGCCCCCAACAGGCCCCAAGACAACCCCTCGCGGCGCCAGGAGCAACGTCCTTTTCCAATTGCCTCTTACTGTCCTCTGTCGTCGTCGTCGTCGTCGTCGTAGTCGTCGTCGTCGTCGTAGTCGTCGTCGTCGTCGTCGTCGTCGTGGGGGTCGTCGTCGTCATCGCCCTCCGCATTCCTCTTCGTGCTCGCCCTCGTTCTCTTTGTCCTCGTTGTCCTCATGCTCCTCTTCGCTGTCCTGACATTCGCAACGTCGTCCTCGTCATCGACTCCTCGTTGCCCTCGCATTCCTCTATATTCTTCGCCCAACACGCACCAGAGTAAAGCGGCGCTTCCCGTTCTTGTCCGATCAGGTTTCGGCGTGAGCACGGCACAGGGGCAGGTGAGGCATGGGGTGAGAAAGGTAACCACAGTGAAACCAGCAGTTTCACCACATGAAGGAGCTTGCAGCTGCTAGCTTCTTCTGGGCTGGAGAGAGGCTCCAGGCGCCTCACCGTCTATGAGTCCAGAATCAGTTCCGCATGCACGGCATCAGCGTCAATGAGGAACAGGAGGAAGTCTTGGGCGCCCCCACCTACGCAACTGCATCAGACAAATATTTGTGCTGTTCATTGGCTCGCGAATGGCAGAGCACGAAGCGACGGGCACGCGCTGCGCACGAATCCACGTCCACTGCAAGCTCATTTCCAACTCCATTACATATTTGCGACGCGGCGGCTGTCTGGAGGGCCGCTCTACAACGTGCTCACAGCACACTTCGACAGGTCGGTCACGAACCGAGACGTTGTCATGAGGTATCTTGTCGTCGCCACGAGCGCCAGACGATACAAGACGGATGGGGGGATGGAGGAGGGAGGAAGGAAGGGGGGGGAGGAGGAGATGGATGAGGAGGAGGGAGGGAGGACGAAGGAGGAGGGAGGAGGGAGGAGGAGAGGAGGAGGAGGAGGAGGAGGAGGAGGAGGAGGAGGAACAGGAGACGAAGAGGAGGACGAGGACGAAGATGAGGACGAGGACGAGGAGCCGCCGCCAGCACCGCCATCGCAGCCGCCGTCGTCGACGCCGTCCTCTCCGTAGCAGCCCCCGCCGCCAGCGGGCTGGGCGCGGGGGGCCAGGCGCGGCCGAAGGGGGCCGACGGCAGGCCGCAGCCGCTGTCGCACGAGGAGGTCATGGCGAGGACCCTCCGGGGAGGAGGAGGGAGGGAAGAGGAGAAGGAGGAGGATGAGGAGGACGAGGAGGAGGAGGAATGTCCTGTTCCTGCTAAGTGAGCTTATGTTCTGATAAGTGCGCTTCCGATCTGCTCGATCCTGTTGCCAGCCCCGACTCCTGCTACTCGTGTCGCACTGTAGTTAATGCCAAGTTGCATGGTAAGCTCAAAACAACTCCTCATCCTCCTCCTCACCTCCTCCTCCTCCTCCTCGTGCTCCTGTTCTCCCTCACTTTGTCCCGCATCCCCCACAGTGGAAGCCTTTGGATCCATGCCCATTTGCACTTTCATTTTCGCATATGCGTTGCACTTGCATGGAGTGCCATTGCATTGCAACGCACGGCATTGCATTACGACGCATAGGATTGCATTTCTGTTGCATCATTCCCAACTGCGCTGCCTGACATTGCGTTTAGAGATCATCGCAACTTTGGGCTCCGAGCTGCCTTGGGCAAGGTGGCCTGGCCAATTTAGCTTGGGATCTCTTCGCAACGTTAGGATCCGAAATGCAACTCGCGAGGTGGTCTGGTCCGTTTCGCTTGAGACATCCTTTCAATTCTGGGCTCAGAGATGCCCTATAACTTGAGATGCAGCCTCTTTCGCCTTAGCATCCTCGCAACTTTGGGCTCACGTAGACATGCCGCGCGCGAGGTGATCTGGCCAATTTTGTTTTAACATACTCGCCTGGGACATCCCCCCAACTGTGCGAAATGCCGCGCGCGAGGTGGTCTGGCCAAGTTCGCCTGACACATCTTCGCAACTCTGGGCTCCTAGATGCCGCGCGCGAATCGGTGTGGCCGGGCTCGCACGAGGATCCTTGCAACTCCGGGATCAGATGTGTCCTGGTTGGACGTGGTCCCGCCCAACTCTCCTGAGACATCCTTGCGAGTCTCGGCTCAGAGAAACCTTTCGCGAGGTAGACTGGCCCAACAATCGCCGAAGGAAGCCCGATTCGCACATGACATCCTCGCAACTCTGGGTGCCAGAATGCCCCGATCTGAAATGGTCCGTCCCAGTCTGCCCGGGTCATTTTCGCAACTCTGAGATCCGAGATGCCAGGCGCGAGGTGGCCCAGACGAACTCGCCTGAGACATCCTCGCAGCTTTGGCTCTGGGATGCCACGTGCGAAGTGGTCTGGCTTATTTTGCCTGCAACATCTTGTCAACTCTGGGTTCCAAGATTTCGCGCGCGGGCTCAGAGATACTCTGACCTGAGGTGGTTTAGTCCGTGTCGCCTAAGACATCATCGCAACCCCATGCTCAAAGATGCAGCTCGAGAGGTTGTCTGGCCCGTTTCGCCTGAGACATCCTCGCCTTCTGAGTCTAAGAACTGTTGTGGCCTGAGGTGGTCTGACCCGAAGGGCTCGAGACATTCTCGCAACTCTTGGCTCGAAGCTGCGACGCGCGAGATTGTCCCCTCTGGCTCGCCTGAAACATCGCAACTCTGGGTTCCGAAATGTTCCTTGCTTGAGGTGGTCTGGCCAGTTTCGCCTGAGACATCCTCGCAACTCTGGGCTCGTACATGACGCGACAGAGGTCGTTCGGCGAATTTCGCTTGACACACCCACGCAATTCCAGGCTCAGAGATGATGCGCTCGAGGTTCTGCGGCCAGATTTGCCTGATCCATCGTCCCAACTCTGGGCTCCAAGACGCCGCGCGTGAGATGGTCGGGCCAGTTTCGCGTGAGACCTCCTCGCAACTCTGGGCTCCGAGATACCGCGCGCGAGGTATTCCGGTCAGTTTTGCCCGAAACCTTCTCACAACTGGGCTCCGAGGGGTCAGGAAGAGGAGGAGTCAGACAGGGCCGAGCCAACCCTGCTTGTCACATTCCACTTCTGATATCGAATTGCGCCCAAGGATGGGCCCAGGCGCGCCTGCCCCGCGGGGGCAGGTAGCGGGCGCCAAGGCGAAGGCATTATTCCCGAGTCACGTGAAGTCTGAGGCGGGGGGGGGAGCGCCATGCCTTGTTGCATTGTGATATCTCCAGCGAGAGGAGGAATAGAAAAGCGAGGAGGAGAACCAGGCGAGGATGGGCGATACATACCAGGAGGAAGAGCATCACGAGCCTGAAGACGAGAACGAGGAGAAGAAGAGAAGGATGAAGAAGAAAGACGAGGAGAAGGAGGAACGGGATGAGGGAGGGGGAAGGATTGGGGTGAAAATAATGGGGAGGGAAAGGAGGGGGAGGAGGAGGAGGAGGAAGAGGAGAAGGAGGAGCAGGAGGAGGAGCGGGAGGGGAATAGGGCGAGAGATATGGTTGGGGCGATTCCTGCAATGACGACGACAGCGACGACGACAAGGGCGCGGGCAAATCAGGGACGGGAGAATGCTGATTCTGAGGACGGGTAAACAAAACCTCTATCGAGGATGCTGGACGGAGTCTATGTATCGGTCTGTTGGTGATGCTTCTCCACTTCAGGTTCCTCTTTATCCTGGTCCTCTTGATGCTGCCTTCTCCATTCCCCCCCCACTACCTCTCCACCGGTTCCTCCTTGGAGTCGTTCTGATGTGCCTTCCCCGCTCCCCTCTTTTCTCCTCCTCCAGATTCCTGCAGGGCCCCCGTGGACTGGTGATGTTGATGCTAGAACTGGTATTGCGCGCGTCGGCGCCGGCATCGCTATCGACGCGGGCGCCGGTGTCGATGCCAGCGCAGATGCCGATGCTGGGCCACGATCGGCATCGGTATCTCAGCCAACGCCAACAGCGCGTTGCTTCCGATCGCACGTTCGCAGCCGGGCCACCCAGGCGGCCGCGCTGAAAGCACGCGGAATGGCAACCGCCCTACATCTACATGGCGGCCCCTGTTGACGCGAGGCCTACGCTACAAGGGTCTTCCTAGCGGGGGCGCCCAGGTGCCCCTGCAGAGAGGACGTGGGTCTGACGTCTGACCCTGGGATCATCGCCTGGCCCTGATGGGGCAAGATCCACTTGGAGGGCGTCGCCTCCATTGTGATCCACGTTGTCGCGGCTATAATCATGCTGCTCTTCTTTATCATCCGTTTTTATTTACCTTTGCCTTCTGATGCTTTGCGCTCCCTCGGCCCCCGGGCCCCCATTACTTCCTCTTCGGACTAGCTTTGAGACGGAGGGGCCAGAGGCGAGGGAGAGGCGAGAAGTGAGATGTGAGATAAGAGCAGGGGGCGGAGGAGCAGCTGGAGGAGGATGGGGAATGGAGGAGGGGCAGCGGCAGAAGGAGGACCAGGAAAAGGAGGAGGAGGAGGACGCGGGGCAGCGACGCCGGAGGAAAACATGACTGCCAGAGTCCAGCGCCCAGAGCGGCGATTTTGAATCCAAGGTGGTTTCGAAACTCGCACCCCCCGAGTCGTCGTCATCTTGTTCCTGTATGGCGTGTGCCCTGTTATGGTCGATGTCGTTGTCGTCTTCGTTGTTGTCGCCGCCGCCGCGCGTTTCTCACCTCTCCCCTTCGCGCGCAACCTTGTCGTCCTCCCTCTCCTGCCCCCCCCATGCCGTTCCGCTTATTGTTTTGCCGTTATTTTCCCGTTTCAGATGACTTTCTTCATTATTGTCATCGTGCTCCTGATGCTCGCCCTCATTCTGGTTCTCTTCGCCCCTCCTCGTGCTCCGGCTTCTCCCCATTTCATTTTCATATATATATATATATATATATACATACGCGGTCGCCCCACCTTCACATGATCTATTTTTTCGGCGTTGTGGGTGAATCGTGGCTCAAATGATCTACCTTTTCGGCGCTGTGGGTGAACAGCGCGGTGGAGGGAAACCCGAGTGGATGGAGGGGAACACAGGGGGAAAGGGGGGGCGGAAAAATAACACAATCACCAGGAAAACCACAGAAACCATAAACAAACCATTTCTTATTATCATATAGAGGAACACCAACATACCAAAGGATCTTCGTGTCGACGGGGGGGCTGAAAACATATGGGAGTCGGCGGGGGGCCGACGCCCAGATCATTCCGTTTTTTTGTTGTCCTTGTGTTTGTTTTTTTCCTTTTTCCCCAAACAGCTTGCTGAACGGGGTGCTGTTGTGATAGAAGCTAACTCGGGCCGATGGAATTCAAAGCAGAGACGTCCTCAACAAAAAATTGGTGGTCCGGGCCGTTTCGCCGGAGACATCCTCGCAACTCTCGTTTCTGAGTTGTCCGGGATTGGGCGTTTCGGGTGAGACATCCTCCAAATTTTGACTTCCCAGATGCCGCGCAAGAGGTGGTCCGGCCCGTTTCGCTTGAGACATCCTCAGAATTCTGAGCTCCCAGATGCCGCGCGAGAGGTGGTCCAGCCCGTTTCGCTTGAGACATCATCCAAACTTTTAGCCCCCAGATGCCGCGCAAGAGGTTGTCCGGCCCGTTTCGCTTGAGACATCCTCCAAACTGTTAGCTCTGAGATGCCGTGCGCGAGGTGGTCCGGCGCGTTTCGCTTTAGACATCCTCCAAACTCTTAGCTCTGCGATGCCGCGCAAGAGGTGGTCCAGCCCATTTCGCCTGAGACATCCTCGAAACTCTGGGCGCCGAGATGCCGCGTAAGAGGTGGTCTGGCCCTTTTCGCTTGAGACATCCTCCAGTCTCTGAGCCCTGATATGCCGTGCGCGAGGTGGTCCGGCCCGTTTTGCTTGAGACATCCTCGCTACTCTGCGCTCTCCGATGCCTCGCGAGGGGTGGTCCAGCCTGTCTCGCTTAAGACACCCTCCAAACTCTGACCCCCAGATGCCGCCCAAGAGGTGGTCCGGCCCGTTTTGTTCGAGACGTCCTCGAAACTTTGGGCTCTGAGATGCCCCGCGCGAGGTGGTCTGGCGCGTTCTGCCTGAGGCATCCTCGAAACTCTGAGCTCTGAGCTGCCGCGCAAGAGGTGGTCCAGCCCATCTCGCCTGAGACATCCTCGCAACTCTGACCTCGGAGATGCCGCGCGCTACGTGGTCCAGCCCGTTTCGCCTGAGACATCCTCGCATTTCTGAGCCCTGATATGCCGTGCGCGAGGTGGTCCGGCCCGTC